TAGTGCAATCCATAATCCATAGTACCTTTCAAGTACTTTAGGATTCTCAGCAAAGCATTCCAATGCTCCTTTCCTGGATTGCTTGTGTACTTACTCAAAGTACACACTGCAAAGGCTATATCTGGCCTTATGCAGTACATTGCATACATAAGACTACCGATAATCCGAGAATATTCGAGTTGATCCATTGTTTTACCTTGATTACGTACCAACTTCACACTAGGATCAGTTAGAGTAGAGACTGCAGAATCTGAAAGTGATTAAACTTTTTCAGAATCATCTCGATATAGCTGGACTGCGTAAGTACTAGACCATTTTGGAACCTCACGATTTTGATTCCTAAAATCACATCAGCCTCGCCAAGATCTTTAATGTCAAAACTAGAAGTCAAATACTTCTTAGTTTCTATGACATTTTCCATGTCTGTCCCAAAAATAAGCATATCATCAACATAGAGGTAGATTATGACACCAGAGTTCCCTTGAAATCTATTGAAGATGCATATATCTCCTCCATTAATCTTAAATCCAGCAAATATCATCACCTTCTTAAATTTCTCGTTCCACTACTTAGGAGCTTGTTTCAAGCCGTATAATGACTTGATTAATTTGCACACCTTCTTTCCTTGTCCAGGTAATACAAACCCCTCAGGTTGCTCCATATAGATTTCCTCTGCTAGATCGCCATTGAGGAAAGCGGTCTTTACATCCATCTGATGAATTATCAAATTATTGATAGCAGCTAAGGCAATCAAAAGCCTGATAGAAGAAATTCTTGCAACAGGAGCAAAAGTGTTAACATAGTCAATCTCCTTCTTCTGCTTGAAACCTTTTGCTACCAATCTAGCCTTGTACTTATCCAGCGTTCCGTCTAACTTTAATTTCTTCCTGAAGATCCATTTGCAACCAATTGGCTTGCAACTAGGAGGAAGATCCACCAACATCCAAGTATTGTTGGACATAACTGAATGCATTTCATCATCGATTGCTTCTCGCCAGAACGGAGCATCATGTGAGGACATCGCCTCGGAATAAGTTACAGGCTCATTCTCACTCATAAGAGTATAGAAGTCTGGTCCAAAGGACTTTGGCTTAGCAATTCTGGAGCTCTTCCTTGGTTCAACTTCTTCTGAAGGATCAGAGGATTTTCTCTTCCTTGTATTAGAATCTGAAGGAATATCATGTTCATTTTTGCCTTCTCTCTTCGGAAAAATATTCTCGAAGAAATTTGAATGAATTGACTCGATGATTGTATGAGGCGAAGGAGACTCCAAATTTAAGAATCTGTAGGCTTTACTGGTTGTTGAATAACCAATAAATACACAATCAATGCCTCTATGACCAATCTTCGATGTCTGCTGATATGGTAGTCTAACATGAGCTAAGCAACCCTAGACTCTGAAATAATTAACATTCGGCTTTCTTCCTCTCCACACTTCATATGGAGTAATATTGACTTTCTTGTGTGGGACTCTATTGAGAATGTGGCAAGCAGATAACAAAGCTTCTACCCACATATTTTTAGGTAAACCCGAACTGGTAAGCATTGAGTTCACCATTTCTGTCAAAGTTCTATTCTTTCTTTCAGCTACTCCATTTTGTTGAGGAGTATAAGAAGCTGTCAGTTGTTTTTCGATTCCTTCATCTTCACATAGATGTTGAAACTCAGACTTGATGTATTCTCCTCCTCTATCTGATTGAATAACTTTGATGCTTGAATTCAGCTGCTTTTTAACTTTTGCTTTATATGCCTTGAACTTGTCTAAAGCTTCATCTTTAGATCGTAAGTATAGACATAGGTATATCTAGAATTATCATCAATAAATGTGATAAAGTAACGATGCCATCCACGTGATAAAAAGTCAATTTCACATACATCAGTATGGATCAATTCTAATAGAGTGGATTTCCTCTCTATCGAATAGAAGGTTTTCTTAGTAATTTTACATTTACTACAAGTCACACATTGATCCATATGTGTTTTATCACAAATTGTGATTAACCCCTCATTAACCACTTGATTAATGGACTAAAAATTCACATGGCCTAATCTACCATGCCATAAATCAGTTGACTTAGCAATATAAGCAGAAATTATTTCATTTTCAATATTAAGTTTAAACATACCATTTGCAGCATAGCCTTTCCCGACAAACACACCATTCTTAGACAGAATGAAATTGTCAGATTCGAAAACCATCTTGAATCCATGCTTGGAGAGGAGGGCACTAGACACCAAATTCTTACGAATATCTGGAACATGTAGCACATCTTTTAGAGTAATCACTTTTCCGAAAGTAAACTTTTAAGTCCACGCTTCCTTTACCTACAACCTTGGAAGAGGAAGAATTTCCCATGAACATTGACATTCCATCCCCCACTATTTCGTAGGTTTTGAAAGAGTTAAGATTCGTTGCAATATGGTGAGTTGCTTCAGTATCAATCCACCACTCCATTGAGGTTCCAATGACAAAAGCCTCAGTGATTACAGCAGTTAGATCTTCCTTAGTGTATTTCTTAGGCTCTTTCTGGTTCATGAGATCAGCCTTGCGTTTTCGACAATCTTTAGCAAAATGGCCGATCTTATGACAATAGAAACACCCTTTGTCTTTTGCATTTGCACCAGAGCCAAAGCATATTTTGAAGCTTTCAGAAGACTTGGCTTTCAAATCATTCTTCTTGTGATTCTTTTTGACGGTTTTGTTGTGAGACCTTTTCTCAACAACATGAGCTTTTACTGTTGTTTCTTTAGAATCTTGCTTGACATCACGATTTCTGGTTTCTTCTTCAATGAAGATGTGTTGCATTAATTGCTCTAAAGTAATATCTTCCTTTTTGTGCATGAGCTTATTTCGAAAATCCTTCCAAGATAGAGGGAGTTTTGTAATAATAACCCCTACATGGAAGTTCTCATCAAGAGACATTCCAACAGCAATAATATCATTTGCTATGAGTTGAAATTTCTGTGCTTGCTCAAAGATTGACCTTCTATCTTCAATCTTGAAGCCCACATAATTAGAAGCCAAGAACTTTTTGGTGCAGGCCTCCTCAGTTGTGTAGACTAATTTGAGAATATCCCACAACTCTTTGGCGGTCTTGCATTTCTTCGAGTATTAATCATAAAAGGTGTTGACCATACCACTAAGGATATGATTACGACAAAAGTAATCATCGTCAATCCACCTTGAGATCTTCTCGTTGATCGAACTAACTTAATCAGATGGCGTCTTGTCTCCTGAAGGAGTTGGACATGACTCAGTCAAGACATAAACAATTTTCAATTGTCAAAGGAAAATTTCCATTTTTCCTTTCCAATGAAGGTAATTTTAACCATCAAAAGCCTCGATATTCGGTTGAAAAATCGAAGAAACAGCGTTGGACAACAACGACGATGAAGCCATTGGAGAGAAAACTATCTTCAAATTGTTGGAACCAATATATTAAAACGGGGAATATCGAGGCTTAGAGGCGCGTAATCGCTTCTTGAAGATAGTTGAAGCCTTTTCCACGTGCAACGGAAGACAAATGGCAGCACTATCTCTGGGATTCAACTAAGCCCAGATATCAAAACTGTTATGTTCATGAAGGTTGCACTTCTTCTTCATGAACCTGTGTAATTATCTCCATCCGATCAACAAAAAGTATGAAACTCACACAATCAAACTCAATAGTTTGAAAACATTTTTTTTTTTTTTTTCAAATCTCTTTTTCTCTCTTACTTGTATTGAGAGTATGTCTTTTTTGTAGGCTTCGTAGGTCTCCTATTTATACTAGTGAAAGTAGGGATGTAGTTCACATAACATTAATGGACCTATACTTAATATGTTCATAAATAACATATTAACTAGACTATTTTAATACGTCAGTGTAGAAAAGTTTAAATCTTTACTAAAACTTCTTTAAGAATCAGTTGGAGTTTTAGTAATTAATAACAATAAATTTGAAACACATGACTCCGACGACAACGGTTAGTTACTCAAAAGTCAAAACTAACAAAAATTATGTGTTGCAAAAAAAAAAAAAAAAAAAAAAAATTGTCACCATAATCACATTTATATTGAACCTAATAAAATAGGATGGTTACTCTTGATATTTTATTTTTTGTAATTCGAGATTATACAGATTGTACAGCTGTAGGATTGCATTATTTTCTCTTTGATTTAGGGTTAATTGGTAGGTAATTAGTTTTCCGATTATTGTATATTCAGTTTCCTATTTTAATTAGATATTACTCTATAAATTGAATGTAACACCATCGTGAATATTATTGAATTGAGTTTTAATCCTCATATATTTCTCTGAATTTCAAGATGGTATCGAGTTTCAAGATGGTATCAGAGCCATCCTTGAATCGTAAATCTTTCTGAATTTATTTTTTGAATTTCACATACCCATATACATACATTCTTAACCCATACACATACTTTCTTATAAGATTCACCATACACATACATATACATTCACCATCCAATCTACGAACCCAGAAATCACCATAAACCATAAACCAACATTGATTCACGCCCTCAGCCATCACAAGCCATCGCTGAATCGCTGCACCGTTTATCGTCCGCTGCGATCACAAGCGTCGTCAAACTGCTGCACCGTCCATCACCGTCGCCGGATCTTCTTTGTTGTCCATAGCCATCGCCGGCTCTGCAGCTCTTAGAACTGCCGTCGCGTTGCCAAATCTTCGCCATCATCACATCGCGTCGCGTCGTCTTCGCCGGATCTTCTCCACATCGCAAGCTGCTCTCTGCCGCTGCCTCCATCATCACCGTCGCGTCGCCGGATCACTGGATCGCGTCGTGGTGATAATCGCCGGATTTGCCATCTCTGCTCGCATCCATGATTTGTTTTATTTTATCGTTGTGTCTGGTGCTTAAAAAGACTAGATTGGACTTTGATTATTTATTTTTTTTTTTTTTTGTTTATTAATATATATATATATATATATATATATATATATATATATATATATATATATATATATCAAAGAAAAAAAAAAAAAAAAAACAAAAACAAAACAAAATAAGTGAAAAAAATATTGAATCCTCTTGGACGAAATTAGTTCCTATTTTTGTTCAATCTGAAGTTGTTTTTAATGCAGGGATTAGTCTTACTAAATCTATTTATGATGTTTAGTCCCAACTGATGGAGATGTATATTGCTGAAAAGGAGAAACTCTCCTATATTCGTGGCAAGACTAAACCACCTTCTGAATCAGAAGATGGTTATGACAAGTGGTATGCCGAAAATCAGAAAGTGAAGCGGTAGCTCTTAATGTCCATGACTCCAGAAATTATGAAGCGTTATTTACGCTTACCCACTGCCCACGAAATCTGGAGTGCTCTATCAAAGACCTTTTATGATGGGAATAATGAGTTACAATTTTTCGCCTTAAACCAAAAGGCCTTCACTGCCAAACAAAATGGCAAATCTCTATCTAAATATTATGGAGAACTAACTGAAGTTTTCCGAGAAATGGATCATCGAGATAAAGTGGTCATGAAAGATCCGGATGACATTGAAACATATCGGAAGTCTATCAAGCGACTAAAGGTTCACATCTTTCTTGCCGGATTGGATGGTGATTTTGAACAAATTCGTGGAGAAATTCTACGTAAAGATCCAGTTCCAGACTTGGAAGGCTGCTACTCTTTGGTTCGACGAGAAGCGGTACGTCGTGCAACTCTGAACGGGGAGTTCGAAAACTCTGAAGCCTCAGCCATGATGGCTCAAATAGGTCTAAACAAAATTGGCAAGACCGTACTAAACCCAATCAATTTAAAGCCACCAACGATGCAAACAAGTCTACCTACAAATGCACCCATTGCAATCAGACTGGTCATACCAAAAGTCGTTGTTTCGAACTTCTGGGAAATCTGGAATGGTGGGATCATAGCCGTTGGAAGAAGAATTCGACCAAGACCTCCACTACATCAGTAGTTAAGACAGAGGATGATGGTGCTGAAAAGGCCTTGGAATTGGTAGTAACTGGAGATAATGGAGGTAAGGTTTTAAATATTTCTACACATGTTGTTAATAGTACATGGATAATTGATTCTGGTGCTACAGATCATATGACATTTGATTCTAGACAGGTCTCCCCACTTAATTCTTCCTCACAAAAATTTATTTCTACTGCCAATGGTACTTCGACCCTAGTTATTGGGGAAGGCTCTTTAACACTCACTGATAATATACATTTAGATTCAGTTTTAGTTGTTCCATCTTTAACTTAAAATCTTTTGTCAGTTTCCCAAATAACCACAACTTTATCTTGTGTTGTAATTTTTTGGCCTAATTTTTGTGTGTTTAAGGACATCTAAACAAAGAAGACGATTGGTTGTGGTATTAGGCGAGGGAAGCTGTATTACTTGGACTTGATGTCAAAAAGTTTCGACAAGCATTGACAGTGGATGGTTCTAAGGGGGAGAAAAAGAAATCTGAAATCTGGCTGTGGCATCAACGTTTGGGACATGCTTCCTTTGGTTATCTAAAAATATTATTTCCTAGCTTATTTAAAAAATTTGATGGTTCTAGTTTCCGCTGTGATATTTGTGAACTCGCAAAGAGCCACCGTGCTTCGTTTCCATTATGTTCGAATAAAAGATCACTTCCTTTTATGGTTATACATTCTGATGTTTGGGGTCCGTCCAAAGTCACTACTTTAGGTGGATCACGTTGGTTTGTTACTTTTATTGATGACTGTACCAGGATGACCTGGTTGTGCTTGATAAAATCCAAAAGTGAAGTGAACTTATTGTTTCGAAAATTTCATAAAATGGTTGAAACTCACTATAATGCACATGTTCAGGTTCTCCGTAGTGACAATGGTGGAGAATATCAAAGTTTTGACCTTCAACAATATTTGGAAGCACATGGAACTATTCATCAAACCACTTGTTCCAATACACCCCAGCAGAACGGGGTTGCAGAGCGAAAAAATTGCCACTTGTTAGAGGTTGTTTGTGCTTCATTGATAGAAGCTCATATGCCATTATTGTATTGGGGAGAAGCAGTTATCTCTATAGCATATCTAATTAATCGAGTACCTTCCAGCTCTATTGACTTCCAGACACCATTGCAGGCTCTCACTAACGCAGTTGTTACCCCAACCGTTCCAAATCTAACTCCTCATGTCTTTGGTTGTGTAGCATTTGTACACCTCCATAAGTATCAACACAACAAGCTAACTTCTCGAGCGTTGTGTTGTGTTTTTCTCGAATATGCTACTCATCGAAAGGGATATCGTTGTTATCACCCTCCAACTCAATGAATGTTTATCACCATGGATGTTGTCTTTCATGAAGACTCGATGTATTTTTCCTCTGCGTCTGAACTTCAGGGGGAGTACCAGAAAGAAATTCAGACTCCAGATTATGATTATCAAACTTTTGATGGCTCACAAGTTAAAACAGCTAATCAGGAATCAGGCGAATTGGATTCGAGTGGTATAAGTTTGGATCAAAGTGGTGATGAATGCCCAGAAATGGAAAGTATGGCGCCAACCCCACCATCGTCCGAGTTTGAGTCCTTCACAACTAATATATCAAACCAATCGCCTGCTGAGGACGTTCCTGATTTAGTGCCTGAGCCACTCAGAAAATAATTACCACAGCGTCACACTAGAGGTATTCCTAAAGCCACATATGAACCCGAACTTTCTAGTAAAGTTAAGTATCCCATTAGTCATAATGCGTCGAACCATCGTTTGTCAGAATCAAATTTATTATTTGTAAATCAATTATCTACTGTATCTATTCCTAACAGTGTGCCGGAAGCCTTAGTTGACCCTAGGTGGAAAGTAGCTATGAATAAGGAGATGATATCCTTACAGAAAAATAAAACTTGGGAACTCATTGATCCTCCACCAGGAAAGAAACCAGTAGGATGTCGATGGATTTACACTATGAAGTATAAAGCCGATAGCACAGTTGAATGCTTTAAAACAATATTGGTGGCAAAAGGTTACACCCAAACCTATGGAATCGGTTACACAGAGACATTCGCACCTGTAGCCAAAATCAACACAGTTCGTATCTTGTTGTCTTTAGCTGCAAACTTGGATTGGCCATTGCAACAATTCGATATGGATTGGCCATTGTATATGTAGATGACATGGTGGTTATAGGGAATGACCCTGAAGAAATGAAGGCTCTCAAGAAGTACTTGTCCAGAGAATTCGAAATGAAAGATCTAGGTCCTTTGAGATATTTTCTTGGAATCGAAGTATCTTGATCTAATAAATGAATCTTTCTATCTTAAAGAAAATATGCTTTAGATCTATTACAAGAGAGTGGCATGACAGCATATCAACCAGCTGAGACACCAGTGGAAGAAGGACTAAAGTTATGTGTTGAGTCCAACCAAGTACCTACTAATAAAGGAAGATACCAACAATTTGTAGGGAGATTGATGTATTTAGCACACACGAGATCGGATCTGGCTTATGCATTGAGCATTGTTAGCCAGTTTATGCATGATCTAGGAGAGCAACATATGAATGCAGTTATGCGCATTTTGAGGTATCTGAAATCTGCTCCTGGAAAAGGGATTTTGTTCACTAAAAATGTTGGTTATCAAAACATAGATGCATATACTGATGCTGACTGGGCTGGAGCTATAGATGATAGGCGATCTACTTTTGGTTACTTCACTTTTGTAGGAGGTAATCTTGTTACATGGAGAAGTGGTGTCACCCATGTTTGTGCAAAAGAGAGATGTTTATTGGACTAAGGTGAGTGTAGCCAAGTTTTACATTTATAATATGACACTACTACCTTTCACTAAAAATATAGTTAGGGCGAGTAGGGATCGTCCCAAGGGATTGGTGGGTCGTATTAGGTTATGGAATCGAGATTAGGGTTAGTAGGTCAAGTGATCAAAGGATTGGTTGGTGATTGAATTATACTAAGATGTAAGTTAAACTAAAATAAATAATTAAATGCCATAGAGAGAAAATAAGAGAGAGAGATCTTGGGTTTAGAGATCACCACTAAACATAGCTTTTCTACACCCTTAATGAATGATTAATGAGGGGGGAAACATGAATTGCAACATTAGTGTGTGTGTGTGGTTGTTTCAACAAGCATGGATAACTAATTAAGTATATATTGTCTAAGCAACATGGTAGATAGCACAATATATCAAACTAAGCCATTAATCCTTTCTTTAAACTCACAATCCAAACACATCACAAGGTTAGAGACAAATGCTACTTGCTTTCATAAGTATGGAACATCAAACAACAAGCATGGATTGTCCTCCCATTTAACATCTAAACTACAACTACACTACAATTAAGCTAATAACATGGAATTAAACTAATTAAACTAAGGGAGAAGCACAATCCATCAAGAAATGAGTATGAACCATCAAATAAACCACAAGAGCATTCCATTAAGCACTATGTCCTGACAATCTCTAGATGTATAGCATTAATACACATAGACATGCATCAATAACACAAAATCTAGAGACAAACACATAAACATCTATTCTAGCATACATAGACATATGGATAGAATGAAATGATCAATTGGAAGCATTAAACCACACAAATCATTGAATAAACAAGATTTATATATATAAAAGTGTCAAAAACATATATCACAATACAAATCCCCTCAAAAATACATAAATCAAGATGTAGAAAACATGCTTAGGGCTAACTTTAGCCCCAAGAAGATGTTTAGCCACTCATGGATGGTGTCCTCCAACCCTCAAGGGCTAACTCCATGGAAGAAATTGCTCATCTTCTTAGTTGATGGAAAAACTCCTAGCTTGTGTCTCTAGCCTCCTCTCTTCTTTTCTTCCTCACGAAGAATATGGAAAAATGTGTCTCTAGTGTATGTATCTATAAAGTATATCTATCAAGAATGGCTCATATTCCTTATATAAGTAGGTTAATATGTCACCCTAATGAGCTGGGCTCGTACACCAATATTCCTTCCAATGATTGGATATGAGACAACTTTTAATGAGCTGGAAATTGGATTTTCTCGGGCTTGAGGAAGTTCGATCGATCGAACTTGGCTGAGATTTATCGAATTTAAGCTAGATCGATCCTCTATGGCAGCGCCTTTTTGGATAAAGACAAATCTGAGATATTTTGAAGATATTTTTAGGAAAGAGACAAGTGTGGTAGGTAGGGTGGTACAACTGGATAAGATGGAATCTTTTCGATCGATCGGAAGAAAGTTGGATCGATCGAACTTTGTGGGATCTTTGGATAAGGACAAAAGAGCTTGGATCCATCTTAAAATGCTGAGATCAATGAACTTTTGATCGATCGAATATTTTCTGAGATCGATCGAACTTGCTGAATTTCCACCACTTGCTTCCTTTTGCCCCCACTATGCTCCTTTCTTTGATTCATCTAAAGATTGCTTCAATTATGCTCTTATTTAGCTGAGTTAGCTTATTTTGGGGATAAGTACCTGAAAATGGAAAAAATACAAAATTAATCTAAAGCGGGAAAATAAAATAGATAAAGGTTCTAGAATACCTAAGCTTAAGGGGTTTAATTACGCACTTTTCAGCGCTCATCACACCTCCAAACTTAAATATTGCTAGTCCCTAGCAATGAACTAGAAAGTAAAGGAATGAAATGAACAACTATACAACTATGAACTTGTTGGTCCTCAGGTTTTATAAGTCCTACTTGCCTGATTAATGTCAAAAAGCTTTGGTCTAGTGAGCTTAAGTGCTTATTCTATCTGCATTGTGGTTTAACATATGTCACTTGGGTAGCATTGTTATTTATAGTGTAGTGACAGTCTTTTTACATTGGCATAAATTAATTCATCACAGCTTGTTCATTTGGTTCAGCTAAATTGAAAGGTTTCAGTCAGGATCAGCATATAAGGAATTTGTCACAGGTGCTTTTAGGGGTATTTTAGTACTTTTTCTGATGTATTCCATGGTGTCTCGTATGGCTGGATAGTTGTATTGCACTGAACTGCTGTGGTAAGCCTGTATTATGTCTTATGCACCCTCAACAACAGATTATGCTGAATGTAATTTACAGCTGGTATAAGGCTCGTTTTTACAACTTTTTAAGTACTCTTAGCAGTGTGACACGTGGCTGTGGTCCAGGTATATTCTGTCTTCCAATGGTGTTGCAGATCTCAGTAGTTAAGCAAAGAAGAATATTAATGTGTTCTCATCTGTATGAACTGTTCCTACTGATGCACAAGGTGTCTCTATTTGGTGAGTTTTCAAGGGCAACATTGTCTTTTCACTTAGGGAATGTCAGAATTGTTCCTATACAATCATTGGCTGAAAGGTGACAGTATTGAATTAATGGAAGGGCAATCAAGCATTGTCACTTGGATATATATATGCTGGTATAAGTGATTTTTGGGGTTTATGGCCATTTATTAAGACTAAGAGCTAGCTGCAGAAAAGAACTCTTAAGCTCCCATTATTGAAAAAGTTTTTCTGCGATTTGAGATGATGATCTATGCTAAAAAAACCCACTGACTCAAGCCTTGTGTGTGATCAATGTGCTGAGATGCTGCTGCTGTTCAAATTGCTGAAGAAAGGGCTGGATTGAGTAGTGAATCTGAGCTCCAAGTTGCTATGGTCATTTCTAAAGGTTG